GGAGAAGTGCAGAGGGAACTTGGCACATCACGGAGATTCCCAATAGCGGGAGTCTCGCTTTCCTGCCATGGGGGTCTTCCTCCTCCTCCTCCTCCTCCTCCTCCTCCTCCTCCCTGCCTTTGCCAAGGGTGGGGTGGCGGAGACTGAACACTATCCCGATCGTCATGTTTATATCCATGGCCCTGACTTTGGCTCCATCTCTGCTACAGCCGCATGGAGAGGCTCGAAATTGTGAGAGAAAAAATAGGATGCATGGAGCAGGGAGGAATAATGAGGGGATGATGGGGAGGAAGGGGGAATGATGAGATTGAAGAGGGAGAAGGCGGCAGGTTAAGGGAGGAGAAAGGTGACAAGGAGGAGGAAGACGGAGGGATGAATGGGCGGAGGAGGAGGAGGAAGAGGAGGAGAATACATATGTTGGGTGTCTGATTGGTGTTCCAGAATTCTAAGAGGTCCTTGCGCGTCTTGGTTAAAGTGGTCACGAGGGTTCTAAGCGCAGGAGGAAGCGGAAAGGAGAGGAGCGCGGGAGACACTGCCACGACAGAGCAGTCGCACAGAAGGCAACGGGCCATTGACACCCGGGACCTCCCCCGGGGGCCTCCCGAGCCACTTCTTGACAGCTCCGAAGGCCCAGGCCCCGAGAGGCCCAGCACGGCAGAGCACCTCGGGGCCCGCAATGCCCCCTCGGGGCTGGCCTCCGGAAGCGACGGTCGAGTGCCAGGCGAAGGGGGCATTCTGCGCACCTCGCAGCTGGACTTCCCCGCGCCTCCCGGCGCCCGTGTATCGAGGAAAACGCCCGGCGGCGGGGCCGAAACAAGCCGCATGCAGCAGATGTCGTAACCCCAATTCCTAGTTTGCCCCCCCCGTTCGTCCGACCCGAGAGCGGAGGGCAAGTCCAGTCAGCATCGGATCGGGCAATCGGAAATCGGAATGTACATCAGATCGGCTGCATCGGCAAGGAGCCGAAGTTGAATCGGATCGGCTGCGCCAGGATGCACGACAGCGCCGCCCAAACACTGGGCCACATAGGACGGTCGGCACATCATAATCGAACCAGGTCGGGCTGGTCAGTCGGTCGGATCGAAATTTCGGAACGGACCCTGGGAGGATCGCAGGCGGAGGATTAGCGCATGGACGAGGCGGAGGCGGAGAGTGGACGAGAGGAGCGCATGGAGGAGGAGGAGGAGGAGGAGGAGGAGGTGAAGGAGGAGGAGGAGGAGGAGGAGGAAGAAGAACAAGTGCTCGGTTCTGGCTCCTGGCACACGATTTCCCTGCCCTTCTTCATGACATGGGCGCGATGAGAACGCCGAAAATATCCGCAGCGTGCTGCTGACTGATATACTGCAGAGCATGTGCGCTATCAGAAAACGTCAGGCCCGCTTCCAGGAATGGGAGCAAGAGGAGAGGGTATATGAGGACCATGCGCTCCGCCCGCTGCAAAAACATATTTCGTGGCCCCTTAGGTGTGTAAAGACATCAATTGTTTAGCCCTTCCACCTATCCGCCAAGCTTCGGCCCAACCAGGAGGCCGTTCTAGTAAAAACGAACATGCAGCGCGAGAGGCGAGATAAAGTTGCTTAGCTCATGCACGGGAAGCACCCCATGGATCCGCCGCTGCGGCCGTCCCGCTTCGCCATGTGGCAGCAGAGATCTACGAGGCGGTTGGAGTATCCCCACTCGTTGTCGTACCAAGACACCAACTTTACGAAGTGGTCGCTCAGGGAAATGCCGGCGGAGACATCGAATATTGAGGAGGCCTTGCAGCTCACGAAGTCGGTAGACACCACCTCTTCGTCGGTCCAATCCAGGACGCCTTTCATAGGTCCCGCCGCCGCCTCCTTTACAGCAGCCACGATATCGTCGTACTTCGCGCTCTTCTCCAAACGGCACGTCAAATCCACCACTGACACGTCTGGCGTCGGAACACGGAAGGCCATGCCCGTGAGCTTGCCATTCACCGCCGGGAGGCACTTGCCAACGGCCTTAGCGGCCCCAGTAGATGACGGGATGATGTTCTGCGAAGCGCATCGGCCCCCGCGCCAGTCCTTGCCGCCACGAGACGGCCCATCCACTGTGAGCTGTGTAGCGGTCATTGCGTGCACCGTAGTCATGAGCCCCTCCACGATGCCAAACTTCTCGTGCACCACTTTGGTCAACGGGGCGAGGCAGTTAGTCGTGCAGGACGCGTTGGACACCACCGTGTCGGAGGACTTGTACTCAGTGTGGTTCACACCGACCACGTAGATAGGTACGGAGTCCTTCGGAGGCGCAGAAATGATGACCTTCTTGGCACCACCACGAATGTGCAGTTCGGCTTTCTCCTTGGCCGTAAATACACCTGTGCTCTCGCAGATGTACTCAGCGCCCGAGGCTCCCCAAGGGATTGACGCGGGATCTTTCTCGTGAAACACCGCGATGTCCTTCCCGTCCACGACCAAGAACTCCTTTCCGTTCACCTTCTTAGTGGTTATTGAGCCGGGGTACCGCTTATGAACCGAATCGTACTGGAGCATGTAGACCATGTATTCAAGGTCCATGAAAGGATCGTTAATGGCCTTCACCACGACCTGCGGGTTACCGAGCCCTGCGCGGCAGACTAGGCGGCCGATGCGTCCGAAACCATTGATTCCCATTGCGGCGGGCATGGCTCTGTCTGGGCCGCTGCTGGAACGCTGGGGATGGAGGGTGCAATCTGCACCACAACTCAGAATCGCTTTAGCCAAAGTTGGCTTGAGCCACAATGGCTATGGAGGAGGAAGCGGGTGAAGAAGACTCCTTCGGAGTCCTGCATCCGACTGATCCGACAAAGGATTGATCGCATAGGATCGGAGGGAGGACTGTAGTGATGATCGCTGTGATCATGGTACTAGTGTTAACCAGCGTGTATCCCAACCAGTGAGTTTCTAGCTGTGTACAATGTGCAAACGATGTGGAGCAGTTTATGTAGTGGAATCTACGTGGTGCCCATGATGTTGTGCAATCTAGGTGTTGTAATGTAGGTTGTGCCATATATGTATGTGGTGTAGTCCATGTGGTGTAACCTATGTGATGCGATATGTGTTGTGCGACGTATGCAGTGCAACATCGGTTGTGCAGCCTGTGCGTTGTAACCTATGTTGTGCACGCTAAGTGGTGCAAAATCAGTTGTGACATATCGGTGGTGCATTCTATGCTGTACAAACTATGTACAATATGTCTTGTGCAATGTATGTGGTGCAAGCCATGCGGTGCAATATATGTGAAGCAATCTGCGACGCGCAATCCATGTAAAGGCAACCTATGTGGTGCAACAGATGTGAGTCAATGTATGTGGTTCAGCCTATGGTGCGCAATGTATGTGGCGCAATGTATGTCGTTCCAAGCGACGGAGCAGCGACGGCGGCAAGATAGCCGCCAGTCCGATCGCCAAGGCCACACAGCCGGCGGCGACGAGGCGGCGACGGGGCGGCGGCGGCGGCAACATAGCCGCCAGACCGACCGTCAGGCCCAGGCAACGGGCGGCGAGGAGGCGGCGACGGCAATAAGTGCAGGCACTGCTCGAGGAACCACATCTGTGATGATAATGATGGTCATGATGATGATCAAGAAGATGACGAGGGTGGTGATGATGATGATGGTGGTGATGATGATGATGATGATGATGATGATGATGATGATGATGATGATGATGATTGTGATGGTGATGCTGATGTTTTGATGATGATGATGATGATGATGATGATGATGGTGGTGATGGCGGTAACACGTGTGATGGTAACATGTAAGTATTATGGTGATGTTGATGCCGATGATTACGATGATGATGATGATGATGCTGATGGTGATGATAACCATCGTGACAATGAAATGGATGATGATGGCGATCATGATGATGCTGGTAATGATGATGGTAGTGATGATGGTAATGTCAGTCATGCTGCTACTGATGATGATGCTGATGATGGTGGTGATGATGATGATCCTGATGATGGTGATGATGATGATGACGCTGGTGGTGGTGGTGGTGATGCTGGTGATGCTGGTGATGATGCTGATGCTGTTTCTGCTGCTGCTGATGATGCTGATGATGAGACTGATGAAGATGCTGCCGATGATGATGCTATGTACTTCCGCCGCCTTCGGCTGGCCTTCCGACGGTTTCCGCCAGCGGAGCTGCCCTTGTTTTACGTACGCCGCCTTCCGCCGGCCGTCCGCAGAGGAAGAGATGCCAACTCCATCGGTCCACAGTTCACGGGGAACCACGTAGTCACGTAGTGAAGAAAACGATATCAGATGTCTCGGTATATGGGGTCGGAGCATTATGCCGCATCGCCGATGCAACGGCGGTGAATCGGCGACGTCGGGATGGAGATGAAGTCGGGCTTGCCTAGTCGCCGATGAATCGGCGATGCTGCGATTCATCGCCCCCCTCAGGTGGCGACATCCGAACCCTAACCCCTCCAACCATCCGATTCTCCGGCATCGATGGGAGTCGTTGGTAGGGCTCTGCTCTCGCCACGTGCTCGACGAGTTCTGGATCCCACCCCCGCCGCCCGTCGAGCTGGCTGAACCGTTCCTCGGCGAGGCTAGCAGGCTCGGACTTCGCCGCGGAGCCCATCTGCTTCGACCGCCCCGTCTGGGCGGCCTGGCGCCGAGCTCGGGCCTGGCGGGCGTATGCGCAGCGTCGCGCACGCACCCTCGCGCGCGGCGGGCGGCTCCGCGCCGGCGGTGCGGCTGCTCGACGTCGTATGCGCAAGGCCGCAAGGCCGAGGACGGCGCGGCGCGCGGCCGCCGCGCGCGACGGCGGCCGCGGCCCGTCCGCGCCGCGCGCGCCGTCGCCGCGCGCGGCCCGCGCCGCGCCGCGCGCAGCCCGCGGCGCCAGCGTGGGCGGCCCGTCGCCGCGGCGGCCTCCCGTCGTGACACTTGACGACGCCGCACTCTTGTCCGAGGCGCCGGAAATCTCGGGGAGGTCGGCGCCGGATGCGCGATGCCCGCCGGCGGAGGTCGCCTCCCGCTTCTGCTCACGACGGCGGCCCACCGCGGGCCCCGGAGCCGCGGGCGGCCTGGCGCGCGGCGAGGCTGGGCTCCAGATGGTGGTCGCAGTCGTCCTCGACGCGGTGGCAGACCCGGATGGGGAGGCGGCCGATGTGCTCCCCCGTCGAGAAGAGGGCGACCGCCATGGCGTACATGTGCTGGTCGTCCCATCTCAGCGTCCACACGTTCCCCGTGCCGAGCACGAATTCGACGAGTGATCGGTACTTCTCCGATCGGAAGAAGGAGACCTGCCCAGCGCCAATGTTTCCGATGAAGCAGGCAGTACCGTTGAGATATCTCTCAAAGAAACCCCGGTCCCTCGGCTCGATGCCGCGGGATTCGGCGAAGCTCCGGACGGCAGCTGGCAAATCCCTGTTGCAAGCGACGTTCTTCATCTGGGGCTCCAGCCTGTAGGAGAACACCCAATCTGATCTTGCCATGAGCGCGAATGGGTCCTCGATGATCGGCTCGGTCAACCAGATCTCGGCGTCCACCCGTAGCCAGTAGCGATACTTGGATAAGGCGGGCGTGTCAAAGAACATTGCGTACATGAAGATATAGTTCATCTGCTTGTAGCTGAAGTGGTACCACGAACAGTGCCCTCCCTTGTGGAAGGCAGCGTCCGTGCGGCACGGGTTCTCGAACGAGGAATAGTTGTCACGGAGAGGCGGATAGAAATTCTCCCGCCCGAACGACGGGAGGGACACCGCCTCCACGGGGGTGTCGCCCAACAGGTCCCTGAATTCCTGAAGGTCTTGCTGCGCCCCCTCGAAGGGGGAGTAGAACAACGTCACTGGGTACGGGAACCGCTCCAGGAAATTCGCCTTCAGATCCGGAAGCAGCCTCCTGGTAGGAAGACGCCAACCGTACACCCACAAACATCTTGGCCAGGCCAATTCTGAGCGCGGGATCGGTGCACAGCAGGTTCGTGTCGTGACGACTCCGGCGTTGATGTCTGACACCGCGTGAATCGGTCAACCTTCAAAGACCGACGGCTTCTTGATCGCCAGATCGTTCAATTCTTAAAAGGAAAAAACGGCATAAACATAAACGTTTGGCGCTCTGCGCGGATGTCTTGGATCCGCGCTGGAGCCCCCTCACTGGCGCGCGGAGCGAGCCAAGGGGCGGCGCCGGAGGCGCCGCCAGGGAGGCCCAGCGCGGATCCAAAAAATCCGCGAAGACCGTCGAAAGTGTATGCTTATGTGTGTTCCCTCCTTCGATCCACGTTCGCCGATTATGGGCTGCTGGCGGCGTCCAACCTTGGACGCCCGCGGCAGGGTCGCCGCCGCGTCGGCACGACACGAACCTATCGCGTGGCGCTCTCGTGGCTGGGCCGAGGGAGCCTGTGCACCCATCCTGGGCCCGGGGGACATCGGCCTGCCCAGGAGCCGGCGCAAGCGTAACCCCATGCTGGTGAGAAGAATCTCCTGGGGATCACAAGAAATGGGGTCCAGGCGGGGCACCGGATGTGTTCCCGGAAATATCAGTGTCAGGATGTCTGGATTGGTCTTCAAGATCGCTCTGCTGATAGTAGCGGATTCGGGAGATCTTCGAAGCTGTGCCTTTCGCCTGAGACATCCTCCCAAGTAACCATCAAGGTTACTTATGCATGATATGCTGAAATGCAGATCAGAGCTACGATAGGAACTCTGGAGAGGATAATAAAGTTCGGTCTCCCCACCTGCTGTGGCAATTGAACCACATTCAATCCCGTGGATACCAAAATACACAAATCAAAGGAGGATGCTCTGTTATCCGGAGGTTGGGATTATCATGAGGTCGGGTATGTCCTCCTACAGGCGGATTTTGAGCGAAAAAACGCAAATCACTTAAAAATAAACAGAAATTAGTCCAAACTAGTAAAAAGATCGTCCTCCGACTATTTTTGAACTCTTCTTGACTATTCCTCCTGTAGAGGGTCAGGCCCGACTTAAAGACTGTCAAGTTGGCGCCCTGTGACCTGAAGCCGTCCATGTTCGACCGGCGCTGCTCCTCGGCGAACCCCCCGTCGGCCCGAAGGCGGCAGTCGCCCGACGGCCTCTGCCACTCCAAGGGTGCGTGGTGCCTTTCGTCGTCGGAGACCAGGTGCAGGAAGACCAGCGTGGCGCTCTGCAGCGATGCCTCTGACTACCTACCAGACCACCCCAACCCAACACGAAGACCCGAATTTCAGGTTGGGGGGGGAGCGGGTTTCCATGTGTTTTTGAGAATGTTCCCCGACCCCCACCCACTAGAAATGGAGGGCAAATTGAGGCCTTCGGGTTGGGTTGGGGTGGTTTGGTGGGTGGTGAGCCTCTGCCACCCCGAGCACCCAAGCCTGGGATCTTCTCGGTGCGGGGCCCTTCCTCCGGGGCCAGCTCTTAACCCTGATGTGATCGTTTTTAACGGCCCTGGGGCCCGAGCCCGGCCGAAAACGACCAAAAAGCCTTCCTCTTGACTTGTCCCACGCGCAAGGATTCTGACTTGCGGGTCGTAACCTGCGCCTACAGCGGCCGCTCGGGACGATCCAGGCACTCTCAGAACGATTTCGGCGACGCACAGCTGCTGGAAAGCAACCAGAGGCTTAAAACCATCTGGAAGTGACGGGAAAAACATGAAGTCCCTTCAGTTTTGAACCTCGAACTACTGTACCCAGCCTTGGTATCATTACCCCCAAATTGTAGGTATGCGAGAGGTGGGGACTAATTCATAACAGCCGCCGGGGAAGCCGAAGTCTTGGGGCCACAGGGGGGTTGTGGATACGTATATCTATATATATATATATGATTGCATATCTGTTTGCAATACTGTTATTTTCACATATATATGTGTACGTATATATATATATATATAGGCCAGCGTGTACCACATGTGGTGACATTGACTACCTTGCACCGCGCTTGACCACCTCCCATGCTCTTGCAAGCATCCCACCCAACCACCCGTTACTTGGCTTGCAAAACCCATGCGGCGGCGATTGCGATGAATGCTTGGTGTTGGCTGGTGCATCTCTGCGACCCTGGTGGCGCTGACCGCTTGGCACTTCACAGCGGGCGCTCCAACGCGAGTCGGTGACTTGGGCGGGCTCGGTACCATGGCGACGCCGACAACGGCAGACGCGATTATGAAACTATCGATGGTGACGAAGGTGGCGATGACGACGGCAAGGCCAATGACGGCGCCGATGTTAATCACGCCCGCCGATAACGATGACGATGTCCTCGCGTCGGCGATGAAGGTTCTGAAGAAGTTCGACATGCGCGCGCGGCCGACGCGCGCGATTGGCCCGCGTGGTATCATTTGAAACGGATCGTGCCACCCCCAGCACGCGCGCAAGGCCGTTCGAACGATTTCGACATGCCCTGTAATTTGTCAAACGTGTCATCTGGCGAATCTGTATTCTGGCAAATCGGTTGCCTGGTAGACTTGTTAACTGGCAAATCCGTTATCTGGCAAATCGGATATCTGGCAAATCTGTTCTCAGGCAAATCGGCCACCTGGCAATGCTCGGAATTCTGGGCTCCGACATGCCTGATTTGAGGTGATGTGTTTCGTGTCGCGCGGGAATTCCTCGCAAACTCCGGTTTCCAAGATGCGTTTCTCGACGCGGTTTCCAGGGCGCGGCCTTCGGAAGGTTGCCGGGGTCTCTGGGAGTAAGCAACTCGCGACATCGGTGAGATCTCACGCAACCCCATGTGCGCGTCCTGATCAGGATTGCGACGCGGATCCAGCCGTAGCGACGAGGCGATTTCTGGAGGCCCAACCAAACAAAATAGTTCTGGCGAAAGACCAACCGTGAGCAGTGCAGCCCCGGCGACCAAAGGGGCACACTCGATGGGGCCGCGAACTGCTCGAGGGGTGCGATCCGCGCGAAGGGTCGACGACGACGACGACGACGACGACCGACTTCGGCCTGATCCCGACGAATCTCAATCGAAGCGCGACTGGCCCTCAGGCGGTACTAACCATGCGCTATTATCACAATCCTTGGTTCTGATGTTCCTCCTGACCTTGGCGAAGCAGGACCAGGGCTAACAACAAATTTTAACATAGCCGACGTTGCGGCGAGAGCGCGCTCCTTTATTCAATTCAACATCAAGTCGAAAACAATTCTTCACAAAAATGAATTAAATGAGTAAAATTAGTTCGGCTGCGCCGGCAATGGGCGTCGATGCGCATCAATGGCTCGAACCTAAAGATGGCCATCGTTGAAGCGAGAGCGTGTTCTCAATCGAAACGTGACTGGTGTTCAGGCGGAATCTAGCTTCGTGTAATTTTCTCACCCATGGGTCTTGATTTTCCCCTGACCTTTGTGAGGCAAGACCCTGCGAGAACATGATAATGAATGAGCAGTGCTACAACATTAACGCCTGCATCCAAACAACATCGGCACCACCAGTGGCGGAGCTCGCATTGAGCTCAGGCGAGAACCCAAGCAACTTAATTCAATTTAGCGAGAACCCGAGCAACTTAATTCAATTTAGTCTAATTTAGTTCGGCTGCACCTGAAGCTCGCCAGGATCTACACTAGGGAGGGCGCGACAATACATCATGAATGTACGTATTTGACAAATTCACATGGACGGGTTAAATACATTGTATTAGTACGGCTGCGCCTGAGGCTCGCCAGGATTTCCGCCAGGGTGGTCGCCAAACAAAGACGAACAACAGTTTATACATACATGAAATAATTTGAAGACGTTGATTTGGTTAAGCAATGGGAATATGCAAACTTATCTTCAGCTTTTCAAATCGATTATACTCATGTGATTTTTCAAAGAAGAATACAACTCGTTCAACTCATCCGTCGCCGCCGCATTAATTTAACGATTAAATTGACCCGCAAGGATTATTGAACAACTGAAAAAATCGCCTGCGCCAGAGGCTCGCCAGCATCTCCGTTACAGAAGCCGCCAGAGTAAATGAAACAAACTAGATAAATTAATGATACCGGAGAAAAAACCCAATCATAATCTTTTTAGGGCTCAATGCTATAGGGCTATAGTGCTATAGGGTTGTAAGGCTATTGGGCTATAGGGCTATATGGCTATAGGGCTATAGGACTATAAGGCTATAAGGCTATAGGGCTATAGGGCTATAGGGCTATTGGGCTATTAGGCCTATAGGGCTATAGGGCTATATTGGGCTACGGGGCACCTGGCCACCCAGGCACCCAGGCACCCAGGCAGCCCGGCACACGGGCACCCGGGCACCATGGCACCCCCGGGCACGCCCGGGCACCCGGGCACCCGGGCACCCAGGCACCCGGGCCCCCCCGGGCCCCCGGGCACCCGGGCGTGCGGCGAAAATCGGCAATTTATTTCGGAGCCATCCTCGGAGAGGCCGCGGCGAGCTCAGGCGCTGCCGAAGTAAATCAATTAGTTAAGTAGTTAACACGTCCACACGGATAGATAAATCAATTCGATTAATTCGGCTGTGCCTGAGGTTCGCCAAGATACCCGCCACGGGGGTCCCCAACACAAATAAAAAACATCCAACAAATCGAACCCATTGGGCAAATTAAATTCGTAGAACTAACTTAGCCCAATTTTCCATGCGGATGACCGGAATACGCGTATACAATGTACTGTAATTATATCCAATCATATTTCGACATACATGCATACATATGCAGAAATAAATATGTATTGTATGTGTGTGCGTGTGTTTGGGACCCCTGGGGCCCACATAGGCCCGTATCCACCGCCTGCGGAGGTCCCAGCAGACCAATCCCGAAGCCCACTCCCCGAAGTGCTCGAATACGGGATCGACTACAGAATTGATTTGCCCCCAGATTGTTCCCCATCGAATCTACGACGAAAACCTGACATGTTCGTGAATACACTGAGAGTTATGAATATTTTCCCGTATATTCGACGCGAAGAATGATTTGGGGGTAAGCCAATTCTGTAGTCGATCCCCTACTCGAAACGCCGACCCCCCGGCGTGCGTCGGCCAGGCACGTGCCATCGCCCAGCCCGCCCTCGCACGAGGGCGCGGCGGCGCACGGGCGGAAGGCGGCCAGGGCCGCGGCGGCGACCCACGAGGGCCGGCTGCACGTGTCAGAGTGGCCCCTGGGCAAGCGCGGCCTCTGTCGAGGGCGTCTTGCCGGCTGCTGCGTGCGGCGAGACAGCAGCGGCCGGCTGCTGCGTGCGGCGAGATCCTGGCGGTTCCATTTTGTCGAGCCGGGCGTTTTCCCCCAATTTCGGGTGCCGGGATCCTGACAGATCGATCCAGCTCGGCAAATGGTGGAAAAGGATGGGGTCCAGGGCTCCAGTCGTGATTTCTGACGGCGTCTCAATTTTTTCGACACGTCGGATCTCAGGGTCGTGGGCGAGACACATGCCCGTATCCGCGGCCTCGCGGGCCAGACCCCTGGGAAGCGACCCTGCGGATACGGGGCGTGTGTGTTCGCGGATGCCCCCGCGTCTCCGCGGGATCGCGCCCCAGAATCCGAACCGCGAGGGCGCGGATACCGATGTGTGTTGCCGCTCATGGGGAGGTCAACAAGGTGCCGATACCGCCACTCCCCAAACCGCTCCTGGGGTGCGTTCTGACCAGAACCTCGAAGCGAATCAAACGGTACTCCGAGGAGGCCCAAGAAGGGGAATACGGGCGGAGGGAAGCGGCATGGGTACCTGTGTGGATGCCATGACAATGGACACCCTAACAATCCGATTATTGAATCAATATGTGCTTCATATCTTTGAAAAAGTGTTCTAAACATGTTTGGAACATATGTGTTGCACGCTTACGACATGTTTCGGACGTGTCTTAGGCATCTGGAAACTACTTGGTAACATGCTCCCTCTCCACTGATCGTCCTCCACAAAGGGCACCTCCTCCTCTGACCTCGTGGCGGCCTGCGTGCTTGGGCTCGGCCCCGCAGCGTCCCCCGCCGAGAGCCTCGCACCCGAGGTCACTACGGCGAAGGGCCACCCCCACGCGCAGCCGAGAGGGCGAGGGCATGGCTACGCTTCGGTCGGGCATATCCT